CGGAGAGGGGGGGCAGGCGGGTGCAATTCCTTTTGCTGCTGGGTGGGGCAAGTTTCATGTGAGAGAGCAAAGGCTGAGGGATTCAATCCTGGCTGGAGAATAGCTGCTTCATCTAGGAACTTTACACACTTAATTTTCATTTCATAAATTTTATATGCTGTTTAAATTTTATAGTAGTTGCTGTTTTAACAACTGATATATTGTTCACATATCAGTTCCCCCATATGTGAGATGCCCCATGGGGCCGGCTGTTGAACCGCCTGGCCAACACTGTTTCCAGAGCTGTGGCATAGGAAAAAACCGCCGCTCTTCCCAGCTGCTGCTGCCTGGCTGCTCCTCCTCTGAGCGAGCTGAGATGGGGCTGGGACCTGTGCCGGGGGCTAGACTAGGTTGTTTTCTGATGTCCTGGGTGGAGCGTGTCAGGCTTTTTATATGCAAGACCCCATTGGACATTACCCCAGGGGGCATTTCACATATGGGTGAACTAAGGCACGCAGGGGAAGCGATACAAGCCCTTCTTGCGGAACAACTGTATCCGAGTCCCTTTGACATCTACTCAAGTCTTAGGTCAATTCTTAAAAGGCCTTTGTGGAAATTTCTATGTTTCCTCAGTGTATCCTTCAATAACTATTTCTTGAGCAGCTGCTCTGTAGCAGGCATAATTCTAGGCTCAGGGACATAGCAATGAATGAAACAGAAAAAAAAAAAATCCCTGAGCCTGTGGAGCTTACATTTTATTGGAGGAAGACAGATAATGAACATGTAAGCCTGTAAAGACAGGGTTTGGGGTGCAAGATGGAGAAACTTCTAGCAGGGTGTGGGGATAGGGAGTGTTGGGGTGGGAAGAGTTGCAGTTTTATAAAGGATGGTCAGGGAAGGCCATGCTGAGGAGGTGGCATTTGAGCACAGACCCGCAGGGGTGAGGGAGAGAGTGAGGGGGAGCATGACGGTGGAGCAGGACTAGAGAGTTCTATAGGCCCCTCGCACCCCTTACAATCCATGTCTTAGAGGTAACACTCCTTTATGCTGGAGTCTTGGGACATCTGAGCTGGTGGGCCTCTGGTGCCCCTTGCCCCATCCCTCCTGTTCACGCTGGTTCCTTCTGTCCCTCTCCAGAGTGTCAGCATGCTGCGCTGCCTCGTGCCCCGGCTGCTCTGCCTCCCTGGCAGGACCGCCCCGTACTCCTCCGCAGCAGCCCTCCCAAGCCCCATCCTGAGCCCGGACATCCGCTACAACCAGCTGTTCATCAACAATGAGTGGCGAGATGCGATCAGCAAGAAGACCTTCCCGACAGTCAACCCCACCACAGGGGAAGTCATTGGGCACGTGGCCGAAGGGGACCGGGCTGATGTGGATCTGGCCGTGAAAGCTGCCCGGGAGGCCTTCCGCCTGGGGTCCCCCTGGCGCCGGATGGATGCCTCCGAGCGGGGCCGGCTGTTGAACCGCCTGGCCGACCTAGTGGAGCGGGATCGTGTCTACCTGGCTTCACTGGAGACCTTGGACAACGGGAAGCCTTTCCAAGAGTCTTATGTCTTGGACCTGGATGAGGTCATCAAGGTATACCGGTACTTTGCTGGCTGGGCTGACAAGTGGCACGGCAAGACCATCCCCATGGATGGTGAGCATTTCTGCTTCACCCGGCATGAGCCAGTTGGTGTCTGCGGCCAGATAATCCCCTGGAACTTCCCCTTGGTCATGCAGGGCTGGAAGCTTGCCCCGGCGCTCGCCACAGGCAACACCGTGGTAATGAAGGTGGCGGAGCAGACCCCCCTTTCTGCCCTGTACTTGGCCTCCCTCATCAAGGAGGCAGGCTTTCCCCCTGGGGTGGTGAACATCATCACGGGCTATGGCCCAACCGCAGGGGCGGCCATCGCCGAGCACCTGGATGTTGACAAAGTTGCCTTCACGGGCTCCACGGAGGTGGGCCACCTGATCCAGAAGGCCGCTGGCGACTCCAACCTCAAGAGGGTCACCCTGGAGCTGGGCGGCAAGAGCCCCAGCATCGTGCTGGCTGACGCCGACATGGGCCACGCCGTGGAGCAGTGCCACGAAGCCCTCTTCTTCAACATGGGCCAGTGCTGCTGTGCTGGTTCCCGGACCTTCGTTGAAGAATCCATCTACGATGAGTTTCTCGAGAGAACTGTGGAGAAAGCCAAGCAGAGGAAAGTGGGGAACCCCTTTCAGCTGGACACGCAGCAGGGGCCCCAGGTGGACAAGGAGCAGTTTGAAAGGATCCTGGGCTACATCAAGCTTGGCCAGAAGGAGGGGGCAAAACTTCTCTGTGGCGGGGAGCGTTTTGGGGAGCGCGGTTTCTTCATCAAGCCTACGGTCTTTGGTGGCGTGCAGGATGACATGAGGATCGCCAAAGAGGAGATCTTCGGGCCCGTGCAGCCCCTGTTCAAGTTCAAGAAGATCGAGGAGGTGATTGAGAGGGCCAACAACACCAGGTACGGCTTGGCTGCCGCCGTGTTCACCCGGGACCTGGACAAGGCCATGTACTTCACCCAGGCACTCCAAGCTGGGACCGTGTGGGTAAACACCTACAACATCGTCACCTGCCACACGCCATTTGGAGGCTTTAAGGAATCTGGCAATGGGAGGGAGCTGGGGGAGGATGGGCTTAAGGCTTACACGGAGGTGAAGACAGTCACCATCAAGGTTCCTCAGAAGAACTCGTGAGAACGTCCGTGGCAGAGGCCCAGTCCCAGTTAGGCGGTTTGACAACCACCTAGACCAGTGGTTGCCAAACTTTTCTTGGCCATGGATCCCCTTTATTTGTTCCAAATGAACTCTTAGTAGGAATCCCAACAAATAAAGCAATTAAATCAGAGATATTCTATTTAAAGCAGGGAGGGGGGCTGGGCTCAGAGTCCTACCCACCTGCTCCCCAGCCCCAGCCCCCTTGGTGGCCTGTGAGTTGCTTCCCTGAAACCTTAGAAGTCTCTGGAAGACAGATGAAAACCCACTGATCTGGACAATAGTTTTTAGTCCTTCCTGCTGATCCAAGCACTTTCCAATGGGTTAACTTGATGGTTTAGTGGATGGACTCAACGCAGACATAGGATTGGAAGGCATTAGGAGTTTTGAACTAGGTGGACACCAAATCTTGGCCCTACTCTTCATTGACTTAACCTCAACACCAGGGGTGCCTTTCCTTTTTTAAGTACCAGTTCCGGCTCTTTTTCTTCATAGCCCTTCATTTTACTACTGATTTTCCTTAATTTGAGGGAAGGAGTAGGCAAAGAATACATTTACATACTTATACCTTTAAAATAGGCCTAGACACCCCAAATATCCATCAACGGATAAGTAGATAAACAAAACCTTTCCATGGAATATTCCTTGGACTAGTCGGCCATAAAAGGGAATGAAGTACTGACATAGGCCACAACATAGGGAACTTTGAAAACATTCTAAGTGAAAGAAGCCAGACATACAAGGCTGAAAATTGTATGATTCCATTTTTTATGAAATATCCAGACTAGGCAAGTCCATAGAGACAGAAAGTAGATTAGTGGTTGCCAGGGGCTGGGAGAGTAACTGCTAATGAGTTTGGGATTTCTTCTTGGGAGGTTTTGAAAATATTCTGGAATTGAACATTGGTGATGGTTGCACAACTTTGTGACTTAAAAGTATAGAATTGTTTAATTATGGTATGTGCGTTAATTTTGTTTAAAAATTAAAATAAACTCATTTGTTCTGTTAGTAAATCCATTTTGTCTCAATATTCTCTTGCTGCTGAACATTTTACAGAGTCTTGGGAATGGAAGGGACCCAGGTAGTACCTAGTCAGTCCTCAGCCAGGTGCAAAGTCCCCTCGGCAATGTTTCTATTTTTGTTTTCTCTTGGCTGGGTGACAAAGCACAACTGTAAGACCCACAGAGAAAAACTCTGGTTCCTGCCCAGAGCAAGTCCATCTCATTTCGAGGCTTCCACTGGCATTGCCCCCACCCCTCAAAAACCACACCACCCCTGAAGCCAAGCCCAGCGTAGGGAGCCTCCTGACATGCTGGGGGTTTCCTGAGTTTCCAAGGGCAGAGCTCTTTGTGGTTATTGCTAGTCTTGCTGCTTTCATTCCCCACATGATGGAAGCAAAGGTGACCCCAGCCAGCCAGGCCAGGGTGCAGAAGCAGAATGCTGGGCCCGTCCCTCCTGGGCTTCCATCTTTCTGGACTATGTGGCTTACAAGTCACCCTACTTTTCAGTCTGCCCATTCTTGTGAGTGCACGTGCTGTCATCTCTTTAACATCCTCTTGTCTTACCGAGGCATCATGGTGCTTTTGTTCATTATCTTAACTTGGGTTTGGCTGGAAATTTTCTCGAGGGTTCAAGGTCTGTTTGGACACCTCATCTCCCTTTCCTAAGACCTCCTTTCTATGCCATTTGTCTACAGCTGAGGTGATCCTGACTCTTCCCTGAAGCTCATCTTCTGCCCATATCTCTTGGAGGCCGTGGGCACCTTTGCTGCACATAGCGAAGGGGAAATGGGAGTGAGTGGGTGGATGGGTGTCTCTAATGACTAACAGGCAACATGACAGTACTTTAACATGTCCGTTCTTTATGCGATTCTCAATACTTCTTAATCCGAGAGGAACATTGTAGATGGTGTCTCAGTACGGGGTGGGATTGGGAAAAGACAATCTTCCAGTCCTGAAATTGCGAGACTAAGGCAAATTGTGAATCAGCTCAGCCCTCTCGGCCCCTCCCCACCCATTTTACCACTGCTGTGAACGTAGAGGCTCATGAGCAGGGAGGTCTAACCGGGCATCACAATTCAGGCCAGACCTTGCCCACAAGACTTACTCGGTGGTGGATGCTGCAATTCTGCAGCACCCATCTGTTCAGCAGACTTTGACCAAGCTCTTCCTCTGTCGAATGCTGTGCCAGGCACCTTGACACACTGTTGACGCCTCACTACTCTATAAAGCAGGTGCTGGAGTTTTTCTTTTTCTTTTTTTCCAGATGAGGAAATGGAAGCCGAGAGGTTTAGTAAGCAGCTCATTTGAAGTCAGTTCCCCATGAGCATGCACAACGGCCCATAAATGGGGATGTACCAAGGGCACGTCTAATCCACCCGAGCCTGAAGGAGCCACGGCAGTGCCGAACAAGCCCAGCCCAGCACACCAGCGACTTTGGGGGGCCATCAGGGTTGCTGCTCAATCACTGGTTCTCCTGATCGGATCTGAGCCCATTTAGGACCTTTAATTTGGGTTGGCTCCATTCTGGGTGTGAGGCTGGCTTCTGGTGGCCACCTTGGGAATTCATTTACGCAGCTCATTCATTGGTTTAAGAAAGAAAGAAAGAAAAAACAAGGGCCCTGGCTCTAGGCTGGTTGTGAGGGAAGGAGAATTGAGCAAGACAGTCTCTGCCTGGCGGGAGCTCACAGTCCGGCAGGAGAGACACTTACAGAGCAGGATGAAAAGGGCATGAGAAGTAGCACACAGAGGCTGTGAGATGGTGAGAGGAGAGAAATCGGGTTTATTAAGCACCCACGATGTGCCGTCTCCCTTAATGCTTCCAACTACCTCGAGGTGTTTAGTATTATTGTTCTACACTTGCTACACATCGAGCCCCAGAGATGTTCAGGTCTTCTGACTGTCTGCCGCACACCAATGCATCCTGGGGCACCCAGCTCGGCCCAGGGACAGGTCCAGTGTGAGGAGACACAGGATCCTACTGGATGCAGCCAGGCCGAGGGACAAGGGAAGGGTGTTCCTGGAGTCTCCGAGAAAGCGTGGAGGATTGGAGGAAAGGCCAGTTTTCCCATGGGGAGGGGAGAGGCAGGGAGGAATGGCTGGTGGGGGGCAGACAGGCGCTGGGAAGGGGGCTCCGGCACCCTGCAGGGAAGCTCACACCTTGTCCTGCAATGGGATGCCCCTGAGGGTTTTAAGAGGAAAGTGATAGGATCAGATTCAGTTTCTAAAGCTGGAGAAGGGATTGAGGGGTGTGTTGGGAAAATAGGCTAAGAGATGTGAAAGATTTCAGGAGTTTTGCAGGGCTTTGCCTTGAAGGAATCTGTGACCATGTTGGTTCACAGAATAGAAGCTGCTCCCAAAAAGGGAGGCATCGCCAGAGGACATTTGCAAAGCAACGTTTCTTCTTTGCTGCCAGCCATCACCTTGAGCTTTTCGCAGAGCAGAAGCTCGGTTTGGGTCCTTGGCGGAGAAGCTGATTAAAATGCCTGCCCAGCAGGTAACATGCAGCTGGAACTATCTTAAACTTCAAGGCTATTCCTGCTTCATTCCTGCCCACATGTCTCTGTATTTGGAGAAGTAGATTAGAGTAGTGCACAGACTCAGTATTCTCACTTAATACATTTTTATCTTTAATTTGTATGCTCAGCTAGGTCTGTTTCTAACTTAGGGCTTAACATGTTAATCTTAGAAAAATTTTGTAACTGTCTATTCTTGTAGACAGAATTGGGTAAGGGTCCCCTGGAAACCTCAGTGAATGAGCTGTACACATAATTCTTTAATGAAGGACAACTCTTTGCTGTGACAATAAATACTGATGGGGGAGTCAGGGGTCCTCCAGCAGGGTAGACCTGGGGTTGGAGCCTCTCAGGACACTGGCCTGCTCCAGGGTGTGGGGTCCGGGGCAGAGCCTGGAGAGCCAGGAGGCAGGCTTTGGTGGGTGGCGACAGATGGGCAGCTTGGCACAAGGGGAGAGCAAAAGTTTGGGTAACATCGTGTTTCTGGCTGGGGCGACCAAGTGGGTGGTGCCAGCCACTGCAAAGGGGACACTTGCGGGAGGAGTGTGTTTATGGACAACATAGGGAAGTTACTTATTTATTCATTTATTCAACACATTTTATTTAGTGTTGACTATGGGCTGAGAACTACTATGGGCTGGTGACATAGCAGGGAAAAAAAGAAAAATCCTGAACATCCTCTCTAATGCGGTAAGCAGACCATGAGCAAAATACACACAATAGAGTCTGTCGATGGTTAAGGGGATTATGGAGAAAAACACTGCCGGGAAGGGAGCCGGGAGTGTGAGTGGGCTAGAAGTTCCAATCTTCAATGAGGTGCTCAGAGGTGGCCTCACAGAAGAGATGACAAGGGACTGAAAGAGACTGGAGCTTGGCTGGGGGGCTCCAGGAACATGGGAGGCCAGGTTGCCGGCGAGGGACAAGCCAGGTGGGCAGTGGGAGGTAGGACAGAGACGCAGCAGGCCTGGGCGGGAGCAGATGGCTGGAGCTTGGAGGCCACTGCGTGGGTGGACTGGGGCCTTTGCTCTGGCTGATGAAGGAGCCACCAGAGGGTGTTGAGCAGAGCAGGGACATATTCTGACTTACATTTTAAAAGGATCAGTGGGGCTGCTGTGTTAAGAACAGATTGTAGGGAGGGCAAGAGTAACCTGACCTTGAGGAAGCCAGCATCCAGGGGTGACAGCAGAATGAGAATCCCACGGGGGCAGCTGAAGAGTGGGAGGAAGACCCGGGAGAGGAGGCCAGAGCTGAGGAAGGCGGGGCTCTCCAAGGGGCGACAGCCACTCCCAAGAGATCAAAAGCACTGAGGAGTGTCACTAGGCAGCAGCCGCAGGGGTCCATGGGGAAGAAGAGCAGTTTGTGTGGAGCGTTGGGGATGGAAGCCAGACTGCCCTGGGTTGATAGCGCCACTTAATCTCCCCAAGCCCCAGTGACAGCACATTAATCCTGGAGTTAGGAAGACCTTCAAGGGGAAACAAGAAGTCAGGTTATGAAGCCCTCTGAGAGCCTCTGGACATCTCACTTAGCCAGAGAAGTGCACAGAGCAGCTTGTCCGAGGCCCCAAGCTCAGTGACGCCAGAGCACAGCCTGGAGCACAGGCCTCGTGGCTCCCGGCCA